TTTTTTGTAATGGGTATTGAACTCAGGACCTTGCTCTTGCCAGGCAGGCACTTAGGTCGCTATCTCCCCAGCCCTTGTATCGGTAATTGAACACAGGACCTTGTGCGTGGCAGGCAGGTGGGGTGCCACTGAGCTATATCCCCAGTCCTTGTGCTCTGTTTTGAAGGTAAAGGCACCAACCTTTGCTTGTGGATTTGAATTGAATGATTCAGGGTGATTCTCAGATCTGGACAAACTGAGTGGAGAGTAGATTCATGAGCCCTATTTTGGGTGTGTTTTCATTTGCACACTACCCATTTGGGGTGTAGGATAAGTAGGCTGTGACTTGTGGAGTCCTGAGCGCAGTGGCAAGAGGGAAAAAAGAAACGTGGTCAGTGGTGACTGACAGAGCCAGGGTGAAGGGAAACGGGGGTGCTCTCCCAAGGTTCTATGTGCTGCCAGGGTGGCCTAAGAGAATAGTTTCCACTTTGTGGCAAGGATGGAACACAGATATAAATAATTTGTTTTATTGGGGCTTTTTTTTGGGGGGGGGCTCTCTTTGAGCTTTGAGACAGGGTCTCACAGTGCAGTTCGGGCTGGCCTTGAGCTCATTTTGTAGCCCAGGCTGGTCTCAAAACAATCTTCCAGTCTCAACCTCCCAGGATCCTCTCTCTCTCTCTCTCTCTCTCTCTCTCTCTCTCTCTCTCTCTCTCTCTTCTTTTTCCTGTTTGAGGCAGGGTCTTATGTAGTTTGGCTCAGGTTGGCTTGAGCTTACTATACAGCTCAAGCTGGCCTCCAACTTGCAGCGATCCTCCAGGTATGAACGGTTTGAAAAGTGGGTGGGGGTTACTATTGGGAGCAGGTTCCTCAGGTGTGGTGATGGTAGGGTACCTGGAGAGTCCAGGAAATATTTTAGGTTTTAGCAAGATGCTATATACTGTTGCTGCTCACCCCAGATTCTAACAGCCGCAAACGAAGTTGCTTATAGGATAAAGTGAGCTGGAAAGGCCTTGGAAAGAGGTGCCAGTGGGATCCATTCCGTGTTTTTTGGTTCACAGCCTAGGGAGGTCAGAAGCCCCAGGGAAAGGGATGGGGGAGCCAATCACCTCACCTGTCTTTTCCTCGGGCCTGGACCCCTGCGGCGCAGGAGTGCAGGCTGCGGGAGGGAATGGACTTGGGTGGGTGACTGGAAACTGTGGAAGGGAGGAAGGCCGCCTGTGCCTGACGGAACCTTTGGCTAACAGTTATGGTCTCGCGGGCCGGCAGAGGAATGTCCCCCAGCGCCAGGGCCCTCGGGGGTACCGGGGACTGGCAGAAGCCTGAGTCCCAGCAGGGTGAGGGAACCGTTGTGGGTCTTCGGTCGCAGGTACGCAGTGCAGGGGCCGGGACTGAGGCCCGTGTGCTCCTCGGTCCTTCTGTGGACTGTCCAAGAGACCCATCCGCACAGGGCTGGGCCCGCCTGCCGCACCCACCACCGCCTCCATGCACTTGCCCACACCACCATACGCGTACTCGCGCACACCGCTGGTCGCACGAAAGGAGGCTGCTGCCTGTCCGGGAAAGCTGAGACGGCGGGGCCGTTAGGGAAGGGGAGAAACCGAGCGGTGAGGCGAGCAAAGCCGACGCCGCGGAGCCAGGCGGGCGGAACCCAGGGAGGTGCGCCGGTGTGTCCTGTTAGTCCCGGCGCGCTACCCGGAGGAAGCTGAGTCCAAGCGCAAAACGGGGAAGGCGGGGCGGCAGGCTGGCGCTGCCCGCAGCGGCCCCCAGGAGAGTGGGGCGGGGGCCGGCGACATAGTTAAAGCGGACGCTGCAGAAGCCTTCGATCCGCAGCAGCAGCACTGCTCAGGACGTTGCAAGGCCGTCGGGCTTCTCAAAACTTCCTAGCCTCGCAGGCCGGAGTGGTGCGAGGGCGGGCTGAAAGAAGCAGGTTCAAAGCGGCAGGGCCTCGCTGCCGAGTGCTCCAGAGAACAGTCTTCCGTCTCCCCGGGCGAGGGAGGGCGGCCGCGACCCCGCCCTTGGTGACTCTGCCCTGCGCGGGCGGGGCGTCCGAGCGGCACTAGGACCTGGGCGAGGCTTGGCGCGGGGGTGTGTCGCCGGCTCGGGGGGCTCCGAGGTCCAGGCCAGTGTGCGCGAAGGTGCGGGGTTCCCGCCATGGCCGCGGCCGGGAGGCGCGAGTTCCATCTGCAGCCTTGCGGTGCGTGCCGGAGCGGGAGGGCGCGGCGGGGAGCCCGAGGCCGTCGGGGATGGGGAGCGCCAGCGGGCAGGCAGGAGCCGGAGCGGGGCGCGTAATTGCGCCTCTTCCCGCGCCGTCCGAACCCTCGGCCTCTGGGCAGTGTTGCCGAGTTTGAGGGTCGGGCCGGGAAGCAGGCAACGTGAAGCCGCGGCCCCCGCGCCCGCGGAGCTCTTCAGAGCTCGCTCGCTGCAGCCCGGGACGCCGCCTCTTCGCTTCCGCTGGGCGTCCGGCACCCGGCAGTGCGGAGGGCTCCCTAGGACCCGACCGTGCCCTGCTCCGCCGGAGAAGCCTCTGGGGGCAGCCCAGGATGCGCCCAGTAGCCGGCTTCGCCCTGCGTGGCCCCACGCGTGGGGCGCGAGTGGGAGAAGGATGCGCTGGATCTCCGCATTTCTAGCCCCTAGCCCGCAGTCCATGCCACGGCCCGGACGCCACCATCGCTGTGCGCCCTCTTCTGAGCGGCTTGTCTCCTCCCTCGCGCCTCTGCCTACCCCAGCTCCGCGCCCACAGCCTTCCTCTGCTCACGCCTCCCTCCTGTGCTTTCTTCCTTGCTCTGCTCCGTACAAACAGCCGGCGGGCGGGCGCGGGGAGCGTAGTTGGTTCCATGCCCAAGGTGTTCTTTCCGCACGCACCTGCCCCTTCTCTGCACCAACTGCTCTTCCTCCCTGGTGCCCCGACAGCGGTGATGCCTTGGGAAGGAGGCCTTTCCGGTGGTCTAGGGTTGGAAAGGGTTGCGAACGCGATGGGAATTTGTGGCCCCGACCCGTACTGAGGCGGCCTGAGGAAGAGGAGCAATGTGTGAGACCGTTCTGGCCTAGGTTTCAGACGCGGCTTCTGTGTCCGCCCTCCAGCTCCGATGGCCAAGGCTGGATTTGGTCAGCGAAACCTGGATTAATGAACTGGGTAGTGTTAATAGCTTGGGGGGTGAGGGAAGCACCCTGAGAACCGTTTTCCCTGACCTGCCCTGTACCTGTGCGGACCCCAACTGATGAATGAAGAAATTTAATGACTGAGATCAGGGCTGACTCCCCCTGACTCGGCAGGGGCCTTCCCTTCTATTGCTGTCCCTGCTCCCGCTTACTCCTGCTGGGGACCAAACTCAGTGCCTTCCCACTGAGCTACACCCCTAGCCCTGTTTTTATTTTGAGAGCATCTTCCTAAATTGCTAAATTGTCCAGGAAGGGCTTGAATTAGTAATTCTCCTCCTGTCTCAGTTTCCAGAGTGCTGGGATTACAGATGTGCGTGCCCACGACCAGCTCTTGCTACTCTTGTTCCTGATCGCAGATTGGGGGGGGGGGGATCAGCAGGTCTGGTGTCTGGGTGGATTGCAAGTGGGCATGGGAGGTTAGCCAAACTGGCCCGTGGGGCTGGAGACAGTTCATTGGTTTCTCTTGCAGAGCTCTCCTCTTTGGCCATGTCACAGAATGGAAGCCTTGAGGACTCCAGCGAGCACTTCTCAGGTCTGTGTCAGTAAAGCTTGGCTGTACCCACCTGTGTGTTATGTATGGCCTTGGCTCCTGAGCTGTGGGCCTGTGCTGGTGCTTGAACCGCTGTCCCCACTTCGAGGAGGCCATGGTGTGGCAAGAGAGATGGCTCACACTGGTGGGTCCTGGGGTCCTGGGAGAGCAGGTGACAGACACCACTTGGTACTCCCCTGTCCACTGTCTGGGCTGCCTCTAGCCAAAAGTTGTATCTGCCCTCATCTCTTCCCTCAGTACCCACCCAGCCCTGGGGTAAGGGACTACTTCATCCCTCTAAGGAGATCTCATCTCTCTGTCCCTGTTCCTGCGGGTCTGGCTGTCCCCTCGTGCATCTTGTTTGCTTGTCTCTAGCCCCATCAGCTGACCTGACATTAGGGGTTGTTAGTGCCTATACTGAGGGTGACAGGCTCTCTCTCAGTGGCTGTCATTCACAGTGGAGGTAGGGGGTGACACCCAAGGAGCCCTTCAGGAAGATGGGGTCCACCTGGACAGGTCCTTAACTAGAGGTCTGAGAGCTGAGCTTAAGAGAAGGTAGTGCCCTGGGCAGGGAGAGGAGATGTCCCTGTGCAGGGCAGCACTGGGGAGTGGGGTGCAGATGGGTAGCAGAGCAGCTGTGGGGGTAGGTCGAGGACCCAAATAGGTGGTGTTAAATAAGAAAGGGCTGGAATGGGGAGGGTGGGTTTTTTTTTGCTAGCTCAGCAACATCGAGGACTTTTTTTTTTTTTTTTAACTCAGGCCCTTGCGCTTGCCAGGGCAGCGCTTATTCTACTGAGCCATCTCCTCAGCCCAATCAAGGACTTTTTTGAGTGAATAGTTCTGGGCTGTGGAGTCAGTTCGGCCTGGGACTGGGATCACCAGACCCTGAGCTTGGCACATGGGGATGTGCAGAGGAAACTGTCCTGCCGGATGGAAGTGACTCAGGGTGAGTCACTGCAGGGCAGGTAGGCATACTGCTGACCCCGTCCCCAACCCTGCATAGGTGCTGGTTAGGCACTCCTTTTCCTGGAGTAGTCAGACATGGGGACCATCAGACAGTCCTGGAAGAGGTGGCAGATAGGCCAGAAGGGAGGCAGGGCCCGGGGCGGCTTCTCAGGAGGTTCCCCGTGAGCCCTAAAGAAGGCAGGAGGGAGGGTAAGGCTTTGCTGGCTTGTGAGGACAAGAGCTGGCAAGCTTGGGGTGCTGGCCACCTCCCCAGGGTGAGGGGTCAAGGTGGGGCCAGGACTGAACCTAAGGAAGGGCCTGGAGGGCAGCAAGAACCACAGTGGGGCTCAGAGAAGGGAGCCTTCACGTGTCACCAGGGAGCCTTCCATGGGCCCTCACACTAAGCAACATCCCTGTGCTGTGGTGCCAAACTGGCCTCCAACTTGTAGTTCTCCTTTCCAAGTCTCCCAAGTTGCTGGGATTACAGGTGCACACCCTTTGTCAGAATGGTTGCAGGGGCCAGGCTGGCAGTCCCTGAGGAGAGGCTCCAGCTCTGTGTGCGGGTGCTATGTGGAGAGGGGCCAGGCAGAACAGCATGCTCCCTTGCTGGTGAGGGCTCCCTCCAGGCCTGCGCAGGGCTTCTTTCTCCTCCAGAGTGGGCCAGGGGGACCTACACCTTGGGTTTAGAGCTCCTCCTAGTGCACAGCCACTGACTGCCTGGCCCTCTTGGATCTCCTGGTGACAGCTCTTTCCCCAAGCTACCTCAAGAATGAAGTAGATGACACTTCAGAGGTTCGGGAAGAGAGCCTAGGGGAGGAGGTCTTCGACACAGTCAATTCCTCCATCGTGTCTGGTGAAAGCATCCGCTTCTTTGTCAATGTCAGCCTTGAGATGCAACCCTCTGTATCTGGTAGGGGATACTGCAGGGACAGGCCATGGGAGGGGGGCCCCAGTGAGCCCCACCACCCTGAGCCTCCTTCCTTCTCCAGAAGGTGAAGCGCTGTCTAGTGGCTGCGTGCTTCTGCACACATCCCGCAAGGTGAGAGGCCAAGCCTAGTTGGGGCAGTGGGAAGAGCTGTGGTCCCTTCCTCCCCTTCCCTCACACCCTGGGATTTTCTAACAGAGATCTCAGAACTCCCCAGGCCAAGCCTTCTGACCTAGAAAGAGGTCTTCATGCAGATGGGCAGGGGCAGCTACAGGGCACCATTGAGGGCAAGGCCCAGGAGGGACAGCAGTGTCATTCTTGGGCTTGGGGTCCCCCAGTACCTGAAGCTAAAGAACTTCAGGGAAGAGATCCGTGCGCACCGGGACCTGGATGGCTTCCTGGCCCAAGCCAGCATCATCCTGAATGAAACAGCCACTTCCCTGGATGACGTGCTGCGGACAATGCTCAGCCGCTTCGCCCAGGACCCCAACCATGCTGAGCCCGACTGCAACTTGGAGCTCATCATGGCCAAGCTCTTTACAGATGCAGGGGCCCCTACAGAGAGTAAAGGTGTGGCCAGCCCCCCAAACCTCCCTCCCCAAGTAGGGCGGTCTAGGGGCATGGCTAACCCTCTTCTTCCTCCATTCCTTCCTCAGTGCACCTGCTGTCAGACACCATCCAAGGGGTGACAGCCACGGTCAGAGGGGTACAGTACCAGCAGTCCTGGCTCTGTATCATGTGAGTACCCCCACCCCTGTCACACTGGAGTACAGTCTTTTGACCCTGTCTAGGCTGCCTGGCCACAAGTGACCTGACTCTGGTGACACCCAGTTTGGAAGGAGAGGGTCCATCATGACACTGTACTTTATTTTCTCCAGCAGAGGTCACCCAGGGCCAAAGTCAGGGGCTGGGGTGTAGCTGCTGTGGGTGGTGGCTTTGTCCCATGTGCTTTCTGTCCCTGCAGCTGCACCATGAAAGCCCTGCAGAAACGGCATGTGTGCATCAGCCGCCTGGTTCGCCCACAGAACTGGGGTGAGAACTCTTGTGAGGTCCGGTTCGTCATCCTGGTCCTAGCCCCACCCAAGATGGTGAGTGCAGGTCTTAGGGTTCAGGGGCCCAGGCTGCCCTGGCTTCTTCACCAAGCATCTCTGAAGGCCTCCTGCAACCCATCTCCTCACTCTATAGTGTTTTCACAGACACTTCCTTGCTAGGCCCCTGTCACATCCAAATTTCGTTAGAGGTTGCCAAAATGTTCTTTCTGGACTAAGAAGAAATGCTTCCTCCATTACTATGACCCAGACATCGTGGCCTTTATGTGGCCCACTTTCAACCCTCACCCTTCTTGTTGACTGACTCTAAGATTTGCTGGCCAACAATGCCCACACATGCTTTTTTGGCTATACACTGCTTAGCGAGGGTACCCTGCTTTTGTGGAGGCTGAAGTTGGTGTCATTTGGGGATTCTTCTAATAAAGGATTTTGAAATCTTAAACAGAAAATTATGAGGCCCCCTTTGTATTTAATCTTCTCTTAACTTGTCAGTCAAGTGTTGGCGACTGAATTGAGGACGCAGTGCACGGAGGCAAGCATCTGCTGCCGCTCCACACCTTCGCCACCCAGGGTTCAGCTGCATTAGCTCGATCCTCCCATCCTTTCCTCTCTGTCCCTTTTTGTTTCTTTTCTTGATAGTGGGGATTGAACCCAGAGCTTTCACACTGAGGTATGTCCTCAGCCCTTGTTTTACACTTTATTTTGAGATAGTCTCCCTAAGTCTTTTAAGTTGCCCAGGGCATACTCGTACTTGTGATTCGCCTGCCTCAGCCTCCCAGCATGCTGTGCCACAGGGCTGTGCCACAACGCCTGGCTCCATTAGACTCTGGTACAGGCTTCTTCCTCTGGCTTTCTCTAGACAGAGGGAGTGCTAAGGAAGTGTGCGTAGGACGCAGAGCCCTGGGAAAAGAGCCCTGAGCATGACCAAGGGCAGGTGCTGACTGGGTACCTAGGCTGGGGGTGAGCTGGTCACTGAGCTGGACACTTGCGTTCATGGTTCATGGTTCACGGACACAGTGAGCTTGGCTAGCAGGCAAGAGAACAGGTGAAGTGGGCCTGGACTTCCACTGAAAGTCAGCTCACCAGCAGAAAGTACAGATCTCACTGGGGAGCTGGGGCTGATCGGAGAAGTGTTGTGCCCTGTTGTGGTTTCATATCAGTGGTCGTGTGTGTGTGTGTGTGTGTGTGTGTGTGTGTGTGTGTGTGTTGCTAAGTACCAAAACCAGAGCCTTGCACTTGCTAGGCCAGTGCTGTATTACTAGCTATATCTCCATAAGACTTTTGTTGCTTAGGATGACTAGCATCTGAGGTTATAAGAAAAGTATTATGAAAAAAAAAGTGTTATGGTGGGTGTGGTGGAAAGGTTGAGGCAAAGGGTGGTTGCAAGTCTGAGACCAGCCCAAGTTACAGAGTGAGCTCAAGGCCAGCCTCTACTATATAGTGAATTCTACTACATAGTGAATTTCTGTCTCAAAAGGACAAAAAGAAAAATATTGATAGTTGTTCTAATGATCTATGAAAGGGTGGCCAGTGTACCCCAATGCCTGACCTTTGGGGACCACTGCCAGCTCCCAGGAGAGCCTCTGCCACCTGTGCCTGCCAAGGCAGTGTTCTGTCCTGCAAGGGCCTCAGCTGCGCTTTCCATCTCCCTCATCCAGAAAAGCACCAAGACGGCCACAGAGGTGGCACGCACATTCGCCACCATGTTTTCTGACATCACCTTCCGCCAGAAGCTCCTGAGGACTCGCACAGAGGAGGAATTCAAGGAGGCGTTGATGCACCAGAGACAGCTGCTCACCATGACCATACCACGGGCGAACGGGCATGGCAGAGGCTCCTTCCATGCCCACAGACACCCACAGGTATGGCTGGGGCAGAGGTGGGCACAGCAGGAGGGGCCTCAGTGCCACGACTGACCCGCACTGTCTTCTCTCCCAGCCCCCACAGTGCAAGGACTTTTTCCCTTTTGGGAGGGGTATCCGGGAAGACATCGTTCGCAGGTTTTCTGTGTACTCGCAGGACTTCACTGACGGTACAAGGCCTCGCTGCCCACATTGCTCAGCTTCTCAGGCTTCAGGACCCCATCTAGGTCCATCCTGCCTCCTCAACAACCCTTTGCCCACCCCTCTTTCCTAGGCATCATCGGGAAAAGCAAGGCTGTGGGTAAATACATCACCACCACCCTGTTTCTCTACTTCGCCTGCCTCCTGCCTACAATTGCATTTGGGTCTCTGAATGATGAGAACACAAACGGGGCCATTGGTGAGGTCCTGGGGCTGGCAGAATGCTGCTGGGCAGGGCGGCTGCGGTGCCGGTGCCTGCCTGACCTGCCTCTTCTGCAGATGTGCAGAAGACCATCATGGGCCAGAGCATCGGCGGCTTTCTGTATGCGATCTTCTCTGGGCAGCCACTGGTGATTCTGCTGACGACTGCGCCCCTGGCCATCTACACCCAGGGTGCAGTGGGCGCTGAGGTGGGAGATGGTACCTGAGACCCTAGGTCCCCACTGGGACCTGACCACATGTCCTGCCCACAGTGATCCGCATCATCTGCGATGACTACAATCTGGACTTCAATGCCTTCTACGCGTGGACAGGCCTGTGGAACAGTTTTTTTCTGGCCCTCTATGCCTTCTTCAACCTCAGTCTGGTCATGAGTCTTTTTAAAAGGTGACACTGGTCTTCTCTGTGGTCTGGTTAGCTACATGCCAGCCTCCGAGGAGCTGGAGCCCTGCAGAGGATAAAGTGTCCCCACTGTACCCCTGCACCAAGAGGCTGGGCTGGGGTAGGCCAGGCCTGAGCCCTGGTCCTTTTTGAGGTAGACAGGCAGAGGCTAAGGGAACATCACCCCCAATGACACATCTCATGAGGCATGTCACCCTCTGGCAGGTCAACGGAGGAAATTATTGCCCTGTTCATTTCCATCACGTTCGTGGTGGATGCTGTCAAGGGCATGGTCAAAAGTGAGTGTGGGGATGGAAGACTGGGCTGGTTGCTCCCATCCATGTGTTGGGGGCTGGCAGGGTTGCCCAGGCAGGGTCAGAGAGGGGACAGAGGCACCAAGCCAGGTGTGATGGGGTTTCAGAGCAGAACAGGGACAGTAGTGGAGGGATAATGGGTATGGGTGGTGGGTGGGCAGGTCAGTGGGGGCCCCACGTCCTCCCCAGCCTCAAGCTCTCTCTCCCCTCAGGGCCTCTCCCCCTCCTTCCCTTCCCTGGGCTCCTATCCCACAAGCAGGAGGATGCTGAGCCTTGACCTCTCAGAGCACAGAGGCTGAGGCCTGCCGGTCTGCTCCACAGTCTTCTGGAAGTACTACTACGGTCACCACCACATGAAGAGGACCTCACTCCCTGTGAGCCCACTGGGCACCCCCAACTCCAGCTTCCACACTGCCCTCAACACCAGCCTCCTGGCCAGCCCCACTGAGCTGGATGCGTTGAACAGCCTGGGTGCCGTGCACTCTGGCCAGGCGACTGCAGTGCTCAGCCTCTTCATCATGCTGGGCACACTCTGGCTGGGCTACACCCTCTACCAGTTCAAGAAGAGGTGAGGGGCCTGAAGGGCTCAGTACAGAGAGGGACTGCACAGCACTCTTGGGCCACACTTACTCTCCACCCTCCGCAGCCCCTACCTGCACCCGTATGTGCGCGAGATCCTGTCCGATTGTGCCCTGCCCATCGCAGTGCTCACCTTCTCCCTCCTCAGCTCCTATGGCTTCCAGGAAATTGAGAGTGAGTCGGGACCTGGGTGGGGGGAGGCAGCCTGCACTTCCTCCCTGGTTGCTGACTAAGCAGGAGCTCATCCCCTACTGCAGTGAGCAGGTTCCGCTACAACCCCAGCGAAAACCTGTTTGAGGTGGCACAGATCAGCTTGCTGTCTCTGGAGGCCATTGGCAGTGCCATGGTCCTCGGCTTCCTGCTCTCCCTGCTCTTCTTCATTGAGCAGAACCTGGTGGCTGCCTTGGTCAACGCACCAGAGAACAGGTAGGGGGTCAGGAGGATGGGTGAGCAAGAGCCCCGTGCCCCCCAGGCCAGTGCAGCCCTATCTATGTGTGCTGTCTGCTGCAGGTTGGTGAAAGGCACTGCCTACCACTGGGACCTCCTGCTCCTCGCCATCATCAACACAGTGCTGTCCCTGTTTGGGCTACCCTGGATCCACGCCGCCTACCCACACTCCCCGCTACATGTGCGGGCCCTGGCTCTAGTGGAGGAACGAGTGGAAAACGGGCACATTTATGAGACGTGAGTGTGACAGTGTCCAGGGGGCTGGGGCTCAGCCATGTGGTGGGCACTGGGCTGTACGTGCCCCAGGGAGGGGCATGGCTTGGGGGGCATGAGGGTCCAGAGGCGACACAGCCTTAGGCCCACATGTGGGCTCCTGCTCTGCTCCTTCATCTGCACCCTGCAGGATTGTGGATGTGAAGGAAACCCGGCTGACGTCGCTGGGCGCCAGTGTGCTTGTGGGGCTGTCTGTGCTGCTGCTGCCCTTCCCACTACAGTGGATTCCCAAACCTGTGCTCTATGGCCTCTTCCTCTACATTGCATTCACCTCCCTGGATGGCAACCAGCTCTTCTCTCGTGTGGCCCTGCTGCTCAAAGAGCAGGTTGGTACCTGGCCAGGGGGTGGGCTGGACAAGGCACAAGGCTGCCTGCCCACACCTCATCACTGCTGCCCACAGACATCGTACCCACCTACACACTACGTCCGAAGGGTACCCCAGAGGAAGATCCACTACTTCACATGCCTGCAGGGCCTGCAGCTGCTGTTGCTCTGCACCTTCGGCATGAGCACCCTGCCTTACATGAAGATGGTCTTTCCCCTTATCATGATTCTCCTGATTCCCATCCGGTAGGGCAGGACAGTGGGCAGGTGGTATGGTCCAGGGCTATGGGGTGTCGGCTGGGCAGGGTGCCTGCTGCCTCCTCCCTGACCATCCATGGCTCACTTCCTGCCTCTCCTTCCTGTGCCCAGGTACATCCTGCTGCCCCGAATCATTGCAGCCAAGTACCTGGACGCCATGGACGCAGAGCACTGGTCCTGAGCAGCAGGCTTTGGCCACACCTCCACTGCCCTCCCCTGGGCTCTCACAGTGGACTGTTCTGCACAGGCAGCTTGCAGGCCACAGCACTGGGCACTGTGGGGGCTCAGTGCTCCTTCTCTGTACATTAGCCTTCAGCTTTGGGTCAGGAACGCTGCTAGGGCAGTTTCTGTCCAGGGTGGGGCTAAGCAGGGCGGGTTTTCTTTTGATAAAAGAGTCAATGCCAGAAGAGAAGCCATTTCCTTGATTGTGTAAGGAATGCACTGTGGACACATTAGAGAATAAAGCTCCTGTTTCTATCCTCCGTGTAATGAGATGGGCTAATGTTGGAGTGGTACCTGTGGGTGGTTGTTGCACCCTGCACAGTGGACGTTGGTCCAACAGTGGAATGCGGACAGTCCAGGAGGGAGGCCTTTGTGCAGCCCCATGGTGTAATGCCTACAGAGCAAGTTCTGGAAACAGCATGAGGGACAGCGAGGTGCTGTGGCTGGGGGGGGGGGGGGGGGGGTTGGGTACCCTTCACAGGACAGTGACTGATGGTAGGGTTGGAGCAAAGAGGGAAAATGGCAGATGCCAGCAGGCAGGGACTGGTTTGGTAGCTATGCTTGGCCAGGGTCTGTGACAGTGGCAGCCAGAGCAGAAATGCAGATCTAGGGCTCAGAGTGTTTGTCTGCCAGCACCAGATGACTGGCTCACTCTGGGTTGGCAATTGTCCTGAGATACTTTGTTTTGTCTTTTTGAGATGGTCTCACTATGCAGTTCAGGTTGGCCTTGAGCTCACTTTGTAGCCCAGGCTGGTGTCAAACTAGCAACGATCCTCCTGCCTCATCTTCATCCTCCCAAGTGCTGGGATTACAGACATGCGCTACCACAACCGGCTTGGATTGAGACATTCTGGATTAAGGTAGCAAAGGAAGGGATTCAACATGGTTTGTAGCCAGGTATGGTGGCACACATGTATAATTCTAGCACTCAGGAGGCTGAGGCAGGAGAATCACATAGTTAGAGGCCAGCCTGGGCAACATAGTGAATTCAAGGCCAGAATGAGCTACATAGTCCGTTTCAAAAAAAAAAAAAAAAAAATCAATCAATTATAGTAACATTTTCTTTCTTTTTTTTTTTTTTTGCTCAGAATGCCTTCAGGGCAGGTTTGGCTGGCTTGAGTTGTGGGGATCCAACCACAGCAATCTGAGCCTGACTGCTTTATTGAGGCAGCCACTTAAAAAACTGAGCTAAGGGGCAGGCCCCCAACATTTTCATGTTTTAGATATTAATGAGAAATTATGGGCTGGCAAGATAGCTCAGTGGTCTAAAGTGCCTGTTTAGGCAAAGCACAGGGACTGCAGTCCAATTCTGGGTACCACATGCCATGCCAGCTCCATCCCTAGGGCAGGCTGAGCTGGCCACAAAAAAAAAAAAAAATCTGAAAACAAAGTAGACTAATATGCAAAGAATTCTTGGAAACCAGTAAGAGAAAAGACAACAACTCTATAGGCAATGGCTTCCAATGAGGAAAAGGGAATCATAAAGCTAATAGCAAAGGCAGGATGCTGTGGAACCCCTTGATAGGGCTGGGACATGGCTCAGTGACACAACACTTGCCTAGTGTGCACAAGGCCCTGGGCTTTAGCCCAGTGCAGCAAAACATCAAGGAAAAACACAGTGAATTGGAGAGAGCTCTCAGAGGCAGAAGCATCTACCTGGCAAGCACAAAGTCCTGAGTTTGATCCTCGGGCCCACATGCCATGCCAGCCCCAGAATCCCAGGGCACATTGTGCTGGCCCTGGAACTGGGTGTGGTGGCAGATAACCTGTAATCCTACCAGTAGGGAGGATTCCTACAAGTTCAAGATCAGCCTGGTAGGGCTGGCCAAATAGCTCAGCGTAACTAAAGCGCCTACTTAGGCAGAGCTCAGTGGCTGGGTTCAATCCCCAGCATGCCATGCCAGCCCTGCCCCCAAGGCATGCTGAGACTGGGCGTGGTGATGCACACCTGTAATCCCAGCATTTGAGAGGCTGAAAACAAGAGAATCACTAGGAGTCCGATCTATGTAGTGAGACTCTGTAGACCTTGTACCCCATAGACCCTGTACTAAAAAAAAAAAAAAAAAAAGCCTTTTGTTAAAAAAGTGAACACAAAGCCAACCTAGGGAGACCCTGTCTCAAAAAAAAAAAAAAAAAAAAAGTAATCACCTTGCAACAAATGTATTTGATATATTTTGCAAAAACATACTTTAAAAAAACCCATTGTATCTCATAAAAGCTTTTTAGAAAAGAAAAAATGGAGATGCCACTTTATCCTTATCAACTGGCAAGTCAGACACTAGCACTACCAGGAAAGGGCCCTAAGGCCTTCTGTGTTTGGATGCAGAGCAGGGAGATGGGTACAATTCTGCTCCGGGGTTGGGGGGACAGCCCTCAACCCAGGACTGGGAGAAGAGAGGAAAGAAAGCAGAGATGTAACAACAGCCAAACAACCTGGCACAGCGCTGCTCTTGTCTGACACCCCCATGGAAAAGGCTTCCTGTACCTGTCAAAGGGGACAGAGAGCAGCCTAAGGCAGGGTTCAAAGCAAATACATCCAGTTTATTTTGGAAATAAGTTCCTTCCAGAATTTTTATTTGCTGCATTTTAAAAACATCAAGGCTGTTTACCCAGTTCTTTACCAAACCTTCAATCATGCTAAGACTTTTTTTTTTTTTTTTTTTTTTTTTGCCAAGACTGGTTTTATCACTCAGGGTTCCAGCTTGGCGACTATAGGAGTAATTGCTGAATCCCCAAGGACGAGACTGGTGGTGTCCTACCCAGAATGTCGGTGAAAGGAGGCGTGGCTCTTCTAGACCATGGTAAAGCTGCCTCCGCAGCCCCACTGAACGCCTGGTGAGGCACGGTGGTGTCGCTGGATGAAGTTCCAGCTAGATCTCCCCAGATCCCCAGCCCATGGCACCTTCAGCCCCAGGCGTCAGGCTGCCAAAGTATTGCTGCAGCTCCAGCAGGGCCCGGAAGCGATGGGAGATGGCATTCTTCTCTGTCTTGGGCATCTCTGCATACCTGAGGAATCACAGCAGCACCTCAGAAACAAGGAGCCCAGACCTCATGAGGATGTGCACCCCAGCCCAGTCCAATTCCACAGTTAAAGCTCAATGGCCCATCAGACCACTGACTTTGGCCACCTACTTAACTTTTTCAAGGGGTCTTCTTTTATTTATTTTTTATTTTTATGTTTTGCATTTTAGGGAACGGTTGGGGCTGGGGAGATAGCTCAGTAGCATAAGCGCCTAAGTTCAATCCCCAGTTCTGCCAAAAAAAAAAAACCTCTCTCTCATTTAGGGAAGGGTCTACAGGGTGTCCAGGGTCTCACTACTACATCGGACTTGTAGTGATCCGCCTGTTCACAGCCTCCCAAGAGCTGGGATTACAGGCATGCGCCACCATGCCCAGTCTCAACTACCAAGTCTCAGTGCACCCCAGGGGCAGGGCTAGTACTGCAGGCCCAAGGATCAAACCCCCAGCCCCTGTGCCTCCCTGCAGGCACTTTTAATCTGCTGAGCTATTTGGCCGGTCCTTTTTTTTTACTTTTCTTTTTTGGTACTGGGAATTGAACTCTAGGCCTTGCACTTGCTAGGCAGGCGCTGTGCCGCTGAACTACATTCCTGGCCCCCAACTAGTTAATTTTTAAGAATTTCTGACAAATTTAAAATCCCTTAGGGGCCAGGGAGATAGCTCAGTAGAGTAAGTGCTTGCTTGGCAAGCACAAGGGCCTGAGTTTAATCCCCAGTTCAGCCAACAAAATAAAATAAGGTTAAAATTAAAAATAAAATAAAACAATACAATTCTTTAGATAGAAAACCATATGAATGAGCACTAGGGATAGTAAACCTGCTCTACTGCATCCAGAGTTGCTAAAGGAAGCTGGGGATGGGGATGCGCTGCATGTTTGTTCAGCTTTGTCATCTGTTGACAGGAAGCGCTGGGGCCTGACAGCACAAACACAGCAGCTTCTAATGCACTCTGCACCGGGCAGGGGGGGGGGGGGTGGCGGATGGCAGCTGGCCATGGGCCCATGCTAGGACTCCAGTAAGGTGAGAGTCCATCCGTGCCTGGGACCTCAGGCCACATAATGTTGTGTAAGTTCATCACAACCGAATAAAAATGAACTCCATTTCTCGGCCTAGCTGCTTTTCAGGTGCTCCATGTCACACATGACTAGTGGCAAGCCAACAGACAGTTCAGAGAGAACATTTCTAAGTGTCACCAAAGAGCATTCCTGAGCAGTGCTGTGTCACAGTGTCCTCCACCCTGCATCCACCCTGCATGGCTACTGTGAGGCCCTGGGGCTGTGGTTCCTAAGGTCTCTCTAGGAAAGGAAGCCTGGTTCCCACAAACAAGAGGGGCTTAGCATGAAATCCTGAGTACTGTGGAATGTAAAATCCCTACCAGAGGTCACTAAAGTGTGCACATTTTGCCAACATAGATAAAGCCAGCCAGAACAATCCTACAAAACTGTCAGGTTTCTACACATGATAAGCCTAAGACAGAGAGGAAGCCAATGTTCCCACTGCTGCTCCGAGGTGAGCTGCAGCCAGAGCCCAGGATGCCCAGCTCAGCTGCCACAGATGGGGCCACCCAGATTCCTCGCATCCACCCAGCAGAGCTGCCCTCAGCTGGAACAGCACCCTTAGGGCCTGCCCCGCCCATATCCGCGTTCCTGTACTGGAGCAGGGCTCTCACCCAACCCAAGCTCCAGGGAAGAAACTGGGCTCCTTACGTCAGCTCATATCCATCAGGCTGAAAGCAGGGGTCCCAGCCAAAGTCCCGGCAGCCTCGGGGAGCTACAATCTGGCCCTGTCACAGAAAGGGGAACACGTATTAGTAGGCATAAGGAGGGTGGTTGGAGTTGGGCTAGTTTGTGAGATTAATTAAATCTGATAGTTCAAGGGATGCATAGTGCTAACATTTGCTGAATATATAAATAAGATGCAGAGCAGGGCTGGGCACGCTGGCACATGTCTGTACTCCCATCACTCCAGGACAATGAAGTGGGAGAAATACAAATCAAAGCTCAGCCTTGGAACTTGGTGAGACCTTGTCTCAAAATTCAAAAAAATTAAAAAGGGCTGGGGATTTAGCTCAGAGTAAAGTCCCCAGTGTTGAAAAAATGAAAAATCTGGACATATAGGGCATGAACTTGATTGGTCCACCAATACCTCTGGAGCCAGCCTCCTTCTCTATGTTTAATAAACTGAGACCTTATTCAAGAATGATCGGATTAAAAATTAGGTACAAGGGAGAATTTTCATCATTGTTTATTTGCTAGCAACAGCTCCATTGAGATATAATTAATTTTATAAAAGTATATAGTTAACTAGTTTTTTTCTGTATTGAGTTATACACCCACTAGCTAATTATAAAACATGTATCACTGCAAATAAATCCTAAACCTATTAGCAGTCAGTTCCTATTACCCA